GATATATTATTATTTATTTTTACTTTTATTTTGCTAAATAGGTATCAATTTTCATTATCTTTTTCCTGGAAAGTAGTCAGATTGTAAATAAAGTTAAGAATTCAAACAAATAAGACAAATTACTCAACTGCTGTTGGAAACAATAAAGTGGAATGATATTGCTTGTACAGTGATTGGTATAAATGTGGTACTTAGAAATCAAGGATGAAAATTTACTTTGTTTTACCCCTGCAGAAGATAACTATTACAACCTCAGTTGCCTGTAAGAGCCATCTGTTTGGCCACATAGTGAGGAGACGTGTTTGTTGGGGGCACTGTTGGGTGGTCTTTCAACAAACGGATTAGGTACCTTTTCTTCTCCTGATGTATTTCTCAACAAATTTAAGGCTGGAGCTGAACCAGAATAGGAACGCCAATGCCATGAATTAGAGCACTGATTTCTCACTTCCATCCACAGCGTTTTCAGACAAAAGAATGCTTGTGGTTTTATGTGTAGATTTAAATATTGAAGAGATTCACGTGTTACAGGTAAAGCCTGAGCAGCAGGTGGGAAAATTAACTTGCCCGCTTGACATAAGCTGTAAAAAAATAAGTGGTAGGAAGAGTGGTATCTGTTACAGCCTGCATAAGGTGATATAATCTCATCTGTCATGTACTGTGCTTGAAGGGTGAATATGCGCTTGGTGTCTGCATACAAAAATATTTTCTCCATAATTAGACACCATTGTTCCAGGCGAAGATCCATGTAGTGCTCTTTCTGCTTTCCTGCCATTGCACATCATTTTCTTTTCAGCTGTTCTTCAAAAATGGGGTTTCCATGGCCGCCTGTTAATATGAAGTCTGAAAACATGGGATTTTTTCAGTTGGAGGGAATGCAATGAGGGATTTGTTGGTGGGTGTATGTAGAGACCTTTAGGAAGAATTTGGTACCTCCTAAGAGCGAATTACTCCTCCTGTAATGACAAACAAGTGGAAAAAGAGATAGGCCTTAATGTTCAGAATAATCTTCGAACTTCTCCGTTGAAGTAAGAAACTGAAAAATTACTTGAATGTTTAAAAGTGGTAATATGGGATGTTTGTCTCTTCAGGTTTTCCTCAGCATGTTATTGCTTCTCTGTCTGATCAAGATGCAAAGCCATCCTTCAGCATGGCGTAAGTAGAGCTGATCAGAATTCAAGAACTTGTCATATTTAGAAAATCTGCTTGTCAGTGAAAATGTTGCAAAATACCATGGAAAACATAGTAAGTCATGCCTTGTGACTTCCCAGTAGAAATTTTATTTCCATTGGAACATTTAGGATGTGGCCATAGTTACCTCTGGTAACTATGCTTCTTAAAATCTATGTTTTTTGGCAAGTAGTAAATAGATTTTAGTTGTGTTGTGCAGTGAATAGAACACAAGGGGGCTACACCGTATTGAAGTCATTACTACCAATTTTACTTGCATTTCTTGATGCAGGTATTTTTGTTACTGTAAGGGTGAGGATGAAGGGTATTACCTGGAGTAAGGTACTTTTTTGTCTATTTACTAATGTGACTTTAAAGGAAAGTTTAAAATAGCGGGCTGATGGGATTAGTGTACCAGAGCTCATCTCAACATACAGAATCAGTTTTCAGGGATGATAGGTGAGTCTGATTTTTCAGAAGGAAGCAACGTCTGCTCTTGGAAAGGATGAGTGCTAACTTGTGTCTTAAAGTCAATACAGAATATCTGTGTGTGAATAAGTAGAAATACTAATGCTGTTACCTTTCATAACTTTAATAAAGATATATGGGCTCCTTTATGTGGGGAAAAATTGGTCTTTGTTCTGTGTCTCTGGAAAAATGTGGTTACTGATACCTCACACTTTCAATTGCTTTCTGAGACTTCTCTCCAGGTGAAACAGTTGCATGGGAACTACTGAACCTTTTTTAACAATGTGTTATGAGAACTGTTTAGTGTTTCTAGTTGGTAGCCTTACAGTCCTACTTCTTGGGTCTTAAATTGTCTCTCCTTAGGCAACTGGAAAACAGCACTGAGCCGGGCCTTACACTGGGTGGATATTTCTGTCCCCAGTGCAGAGCCAAATACTGTGAACTTCCTGTGGAATGCAAAGTCTGTGGTGAGTATCAAGCACAGGTGAGCAGGTCAATTTTGAGTTAGTGGTAAGGGAGTTAAGGGGTAGACAAATTCAGTGATACTTAGGTATTAAAAGCCATCTCTGCTTTCAGAAGCCTGAATTCCTGTGTACTGGGATGTCAGCTTCATACACGGGACTTCCAGGACTATACCTGTAACAGGAAAGCTGTATCATATTCCCTCATATAATGTTATAAACTAAAAGCCCTAAAGCAAAGGGGGGAAGAAGGGTGATTCACATACGAATGGCAATCTCCTCAAGAATCCTGATGTAACAGACACACCAGTGTTTCAGACTCTGCAGTGCAAGGCCAGGAGGATAGAGCGCTTTGAATCATAGAATGGTTTGGGTTGGAAGGGACCTTAAAGATCATCTAGTTCCAACCCCCAACCCTTCTTTTTGCTTTGGAGCAAAAAGAAGTAATCTCTCACCTCTAGGAGTATTTGGATGAAAGGTTTCAAAGCTGAACCCAAGGGCAGGCTGCCCAGTGACACAGGAAAGGCTCTAGAATTGTAAATGGAGTCCTTTGGTCTTGCAGACGTTCCCCTGCCTCACCCCTGGCCCTTAACGAGGGCAGGAAGGATGATTAGCATTTATACAGTATGAGTGACAGCTGTCCTGTTAGCTTCTACAGGCATACAGCCAGAACGTGATAGGTGTTATCAAGATGTGTGTATTTGGCAAGAGGATGAAATAATTCTAGTTTTGGGTCACCTTGTCCTAGTTTCATGTCAAGGTTTTTGTATCAGCATGAGTTTCATTTCAGCAGGGTAATAGTGTAACTGGAGAGATGCTGTGTATCCCCAGCAGATTCCTCACAGCAGAACGAGAGCTCAGAAGCTGACACTGCATGTGAGTGACTGATGAAGTAGTTTGTGCCAGCCCATGCCCTAGCCAACACTAGCCTGTTGTCACGGTTTAACCCCAGCCGGCAGCTGAGCCCCACAGAGCCACTCACTTCCTGCCCACGGTGGGGTGGGGGAGCGAAACGGAAGGACAAAAGTGGGAAAACTCGTGAGCTGAGCTGAAGACAGTTCAACAGGTAAAGCAAAAGCCATGCGTGCAGGCAAAGCAAAGCAAGGAATTCCTTCCCCAGTTCCACGGGCAGGCAGGTCTCCAGCCATCCCCAGGAAAGCAGGGCTCCAGCACGCATAACCATTACCTGGGAAGACAAACGCCATCACTCCAAATGTCCCACGTTCCTTCTTCTCCCCCCAGCTGTGTATGCTGAGCGTGACACCACATGGGCTGGAACTGGGTTCCGTTGTCCCGGCTGTGTCCCCTCCCAGCTCCTTGTGCCCCCCAGCTACCCACTGGTGGGGTGGGGTGAGGAGCAGCAAAGGTCCTGACTCTGTGTGAGCACTGCTCAGCAGTAACGAAACCACCCCGTGTGATCAACGCTGTTTCCAGCAAAATCCAAAACCCAACTCCATTTTAGCTACCACGAAGAAAATTAACTCCATCCCAGCGGAAACCAGCAAACCTGTGTTAGCTGAAACAGGGCTGTGGCGTGGCTGCAGTGGAGCCTTGTATTTGGGCACCGACCGTTTTAACTGACGATGTGAAGCAGCAGAACAGTCACTGCCAAAGAGGAGTTGTGCATTTCAGTTTAATCGGAAGACTTTTCTGTGGTTGCACTGTCTGTGTGGCACGAGGAGGAAAGACTTGGTTTTACTACTCTGTGTTGTAGCCTACTTCCAAAGACCGAGTTAAACCTTTTAGTTTGGACAATTTGTTCTTTAGTCTATATTTGGATTTAATTCTGGAAAGGATTACAGTTTTGGGTTATGGAAGCTAATGAACAAACCATTTTCTGGTTTTTAATTCTTAAAAGCTCTGAACTGCTGAAGTAATTAAAAAGTCTTTTTTTCCTTTTTTGCTTTGCTGAACACAGAAAAGCATTTCATTATGTCCCCCCTTGTAACAAGTTCGATGTCTCTTTCTTTGCAGGCCTTACCTTAGTGTCTGCACCTCACCTGGCTCGGTCTTACCATCACTTGTTTCCTTTGGATGCCTTTCAGGAAGTCCCCATGGAAGAATACCAGGGGGAAAGGTATGCAAGTCATATTTGGGATAATGAGTGTACTTGTGGACCCTTCCATTTCTCTTGCCGTGAATGTAAGAACAGCTGGCGGCAGCTTCCTTGCTGCCGGAAACGCTGTTGGATGTTTGGGCATTTTGGGGCACCTCTGGCAGTAAGACATAGTCGTCGTTCCCATTAGTGCTTACCCTGCGTGTTCAGTCCAGCAGCTGAAATAATTGCTGTAAATTATTCCTGTGCAAGAATTTTTTTTTCTAAAACACCATTTTATATTTTGTACTGAAAAAAAATTTCTTTTCAGTACAAAATGTAAAATGGTGTAAAAAGCCCAATTTTGCTTTTCAGGTGTTGTCAAGGCTGCCAGGGAGAAATGAAGGATCAAAATGTAAGTATGTTGGACTGCACTGGAATTTGCGCTGAGGCGTGTCAGCGGCAGAGATGATCCTTTAGGATAGCCTTCCAAAGAGCAGGAAAATCTTCGTGGAAGTTTATCTCAGGGTTAGCCAGAGTTCGCTGTTACAGAGTCGCACCTTTTAGACTGCAGAGTCTGTAAGAGCGTGGGAAGGGGCTTCTGAGAGAGTTGCTTCCAGCCGTGGCCGTTCGGAGGCATCTGCAGTGACTTGAGCTCAGCCCTTGGTTAGAAACTGGAACTCGGCTGGGTTTCTGTGACGTTAAAAATAGAATGTATTTACTGTCTTGATGGCACAACTGTTACTCTGCTGTAGTGCTGTGACGGTGGTAATTTTTTTCTAATTTGGCTTGGTTTTCTATCTTCCCCACACAGGTTTACGTATGTAAAGTGTGTCAGAATGCGTTCTGCGTGGAATGCGATTTGTTTATTCATGACACTCTGCACTGCTGTCCTGGCTGTATTCACAAGCACCCGGCTCCCCTATCCATATGACGTCATCTCTTTTTAGAAATTGTCATATCTGTGTTGTTCTTGCATAAATCTGGCTTCCCCTGCCGTAGCTTTCACTGGGGCACCTCCAATCAGGAAGCACCCAGGTGATGACAGAAGGACTGACACTGGCTTGGGGGCAAACTAATTTTTACCGAACATACTAATGATGTTGTTGCTGTTAATATATTCTCGAATTATCTGTATCTGGTTCATCTTCCTTGTTCTCGTCTGAAAAGCTCTGGCTTTTTCAGATTGCTGTTCTGAGCGACGTGTACATTTGTAAATGTGAAAGTGATAAAACCAGTTTGTATGATAATCCGGTGATTCACCTTCGTTTCATTATTTGTTCAAAAAAAAAAAGCTCTGAAAATGGATGTTACGCATCGATTGTTACAAGCTTTTGGTTTTGGTGGAGTTCTACAGATCAAAATATTTGTTGGACGGATTTAACAAAAGATGTTTTTGAGGAGTTAGTTGGGGGGATTCCGGCTGGTGGTTAGGGGTATTGCGCCCATTCACCTTGGCCCCCAGTGGGGCAGCTCAGATGCAGCTGTTAGAGATGTGCCAGAAACAGTTTCAGGTTCTAATCATAAAATTCAGAACTAATTGAATTTTATTACTGCTGCGTCTGTAGTTGCATGGTTTTAAGTTTCACTTTCTTGCAGGAGTGTAAGGTTACCGTAAAGCAGTGAATTTGCAGCGGTGTGAGACCTGAGTTTATCGAAGGCGGCGATGCTGTGTTGCGGCTAGAATGAGTTGCTTGACGTGCAGGTCATCTTCTCTCCTTGGCTAAGCCCCCAGAGCGACAGGCAGTAAGGTGGGGGGAGAATGGGAAGCATGTGTCATTGCCTGAACATGGAAAACGGGAAATTGAGACAATTCACAGCGCCTGTACCACGTGTGACTGCAATTCGAACTTGTGAGAGGAGGCTGCGGTGGCGCGGTGCCTAGAGCAGAGCGTCGCGTCCGGTTTTCGGAAGTCGGCTTGTGACACCTGTAACGTATCCAGGGTAACTCGGTCGCTGTACATCTCGCTCCCTGTTCAAAACAGTGAGCCACGTGGCCAGGTGAAGGACAGCAGGAACCTCGCCCAACCCCTCGAAAGTTCCAGCGAAGAAAAACCAAACCCCTGTCTTAAGGCACCTCCCTGTTTTTTCACGCTCACCACATACAAACAATACCTCCACCTTTCAGTTTTCAAGTCCTTTAAACGTGCAAATTCTCAATTGTTAACGTAGCTGCTGCGCTTTTTCTGCTGTTCACAGGCTGGCTGGAATGCCGTAGTTCTGCTGTGGGGGCAGAAAAATGGCTGTTTTGGCATCTGTGTTTGGCTTTGTGCCCAGTCAGACGATCCCTGTCAGCCCTTCGTGCTCTCAAGTGATTGCAGTGCCTGTTACTGTGAGGGTGTCCTTAAAAACTACCAGGAAAGGGGCGTGTTTGTGGGGTTTGGTGTGGTCTGGTAGGCTGTTCCAAACCAGAGGAATGCTGTAAGCATCTGGTTCTTGGATACTCAAACTGGTGACAACGCCTTGACACAGTGTTTTCCGATTACGTTTTCACCTTCGCAATCAGCATTTCCTGATGAAAAAAGGGGTTTCCCAAGGCACTTTAAATCTCTTCTGGGTTTTTCTCTGCATAGTTACCAGCGTATTTGGAGGTAGAAGCTGGATAGAAGTTGTGGCCCTGTACTCCATTGTCTGCTTGTGGTCTGAGCGAAAGTTTGGCTTGTGTTTTTCCACCCTTCTCATTGGGTGGGAGGAGCAGTTCAGACTGGGTCCTGAAAAAGGGCTGTCAGGGCAACATTTATCTGACGTGCCAAGAATTTCAGCCCTGGCCATTCTATCTGAAGGAGTATGGAGGATGTGCTTCCCCCATCGGTGCTCTGGGCCTGGCTGGGTCTCAAGTCCCCTTTGCTTGTGGGGAACATGCTTAATTCTTGTTCTTGTATTTTCCTGTTTACTGGATCTGCCACAAGATCAGTCAATCAGTGAGGTTGTTCACAGGCCTGTGAGAAGTTCTTAGACGTCCCGAAGATGTTGCGTAACACGGTGTGGAGAGAAGGTGCTGAGGGAAGAGACAGGAAGACAAAAACATCCTGCGGTGGGGTTGAGGACACAACCATGGCAAGAGGTTTGAGGCAGACAGGCACAGGCTGATGAGGGAGCGTGCTGCAGCGTAAGAGGATCCAGGAAATGTGAGTGCCCTTGCTTTGCTGTCCGCTTCCTTGCAGGAATAGATGTTACCATCTGAATTAATGGTGGTAAGTGATTTCTAAGACTGGAGGTGCTGAAAATATTTTAATTAAAATGGGAGTAGCAGAAGTATTTGTGTTTAGTTTTGCATAACAGCTGCAACTCCTGGACAACTAGGATGTCATCCTGGTCTGTCTCATGCAATATGAGGAACAATATTAATTCTTGATTTTGATGCGGCTCATGGGTGAAAAAGTGCCATGAAGCACCAACTCTGAAGCTCTAGTTACTGTGCAGGCTCCTGGCTGAAGGAGGGAGGGTAGATAAATCTTATTTAAAATAAGTGATCCAATTTGAGAACCGTGTCTCCATGTTTTGGAGGAATAAATGTGGTGCCCATAGTGCAATCCATGAAAGCAATTTTACAAGATATAATAGAACTTGAAGAGTGTTACAATTTTTGTAGCAGTTTTGGGGATTTGAAAGCACTTAAATTGCTGAGCACACATTTTCCTCTGAGAGGGAAGTGTGATTTTTATACCAGTAAAAAAGAGTAACACCAACAGGTTGGAGATTCCTGATGTAGAATTACTTCCTTAAAGATGTATTTGTTTCATAGAATCACAGAATG